GAGTTCCTATCCTGTATCCAAACACTGTTCTGGACAAAAACAAAACAAAAACAACCAAACAAGCATTCCCCCACCAGCATCAACAGAATCAGATTTCCTTTAAATTATACTATTGCAAGAGAACATAATCAGGTTACCTCTATTATGTTGCTTCCTTAAGATTTTCTATTATCTATACTTAATTGAGATACAGAGCTCTTTTCAGCTATAAAGACGACAGCTACTTTATTAAGGTTTAAATCTGATTTCTTAATGATAGGCTGCTTCCTTTAAAGACTCGAAACCTGCACAACCTTCTTATGATAAAACCAGACCTGGCATGGTTGAGTCTGGTACTTTATTTAAATACAGCCTGAGAGTCTCTGAAGGGTGTTAGTTTAAAAGAAAGGTCCCTTGCTTTTGTTTTCAGTGTTGGAATTTGAGGCTAGCACTTAAAAAGAGCGACCGCTACATCCAAAGCCTAGGTTTAGACCTGTATAAGGATGGAGAATGCCATGGTAGGTCCTAATGGGGAAACAGTTTCCCCTTCTATGCGCTGTATACATATTCGTTCAGTTAAAATGAATTAAAATGAATTCATCTTTCAGAGGTTTGTGACATCCTTCAAAACAGCAAAAGCTATCCTAAAGAGTGGCAAAACCAGACTGCGAAATCACGATTTGAATAATAATGGCAGCATGCAGGCTTTTTTTTTTTTCCCCTCTCCAATCTAGAAAGGCAGAATTTATTCTGAATTTCTCAGGGCTTTTGATACACAGATTTTCTCCACTAACTCTGGTAAGAGTCCATATTTATATGTACAAATTTCATCTAAGGCATGTATCTATTTAGTCATTAAGTTCCAGGTCCTTAAACACTCCCAGGGACAGAGCAGTAAATCTTCCTTCTGAGAAGGCAGCCTACGAGGGAGAAGTTAGGGGAAGCAAAGAGAGCCACAGAGCGGCTATTTATGGAGCCCGGCTGCAGAGTCTGGGTCTTTCTGATCCACGGCATGCGTAATTACGTGTCTCACGGCAGGCGCTCTGCAGCTCAGTCCCTTTGCCAAGGCCGCTATTCACACACTTTTTGGATATGGCGTCAATGAAACGTGAGCTGTGTTCCTTATGACGACCAAATTAATGGTTTGACAGAAGCTTTTTCAATAAACACTGCAAACTGGCCATATTCGAAGGTTTTAAAAACCGTTTCTTTTCTGTTCAAAATTCTGACAAACATGTCTCAAGACAGACCGGGACAACTTCATTATCCTCCCAACACTTAATGCCTTTTTTGTAAAGAAGGCTGTTTAATAACACGTCTGCTGTTTTCACAACTAAATTATTCCAGTTGGTCACACGTTCCAGTCTTCGGCAAGACACTTGTGTTACGAGAGATAAAAACACGAAAAAGGAAATATATTGCAGAAATCAAAAACCTTATCTATTTCTAGACTCTCTCTCTTTGCCATAATTCATTCAAGAAGGCCCCAAGAATAATTTTTGATGTAAACTCAGCTACAAACATACATCACTATGCTGATAAAAATCACAGGCTAAACTTATGAAATATAGTGACTTTCATTTCTTTAGTGCTGTTAAAATAACTTTTTTCTAAGGTTCAACAGACACAAAAGATAAAAGGGGTTACCATTAATCCTTTAAGAAAAGAAGAAGAAGCAGCAGCCCCATAGATTAATTCTGTGGTCTGATGATGGTCTTGAAGATGAACTTTTTAGATTAAGTCACTGAATTAATTTGATGAAGATACTGGAAATCATAAAAAAAAAAAACACAGCATCAAGCTGATTCAGTTAATACATCTTTGTTTGGGCACTTTACAGCATAAATTATGCTGAGAAACTTTTGGTTTCTAAATTCTGGCCTCAGTAAGGGCAGTGTGGAGACAGCAAACATTCACTGAGGACAGCTCTGCAGGTAGGCACTGGGTTAGGGATAGGGCTACAGAAACCGGTTCTGGGATTAGTCAGCTGAGCACGGAGATGGAGGTGGGACAGAGGGACAGACTTCAAGTCATTAACCACTTCGCAGATGGAGAGGTGCTGTGCCAGAGGTGTGACGAAGTCAGAGAGCCCGACCCTGGAGCTAGAGCCAGGCATGAGGAACTGGAGGCGCCTGTCCGTCAGCAGGCGGGGCAGTGGGGACATACACTCCAGGCCATGGGAACAGCAACAGCACACAATGCGAGGTGTGTTTGTGGGAAATAGTTCACAGCGGCTATACCCCAAGTCCAGGATGGGAAATTGTGGGCTATGTGCCTGGAGTGGTCAATGTCTGTGAAGCCCTTTGCTGAGGAGCTTGGAGTCTATTCTGTGAGTCTGCAACTTTCAAACTTTTTTTTTTTTTTTAAAGCAGCAAAATCCTTTTTAACTCGTTGACTTTTTATTTTTATTATTTTTTAAAATAATTTTTTATTTTTTTTTATTAACATATAATGTATTATTAGCCCCAGGGGTACAGGTCTGTGAATCGCCAGGTTTACACACTTCACAGCACTCACCATAGCACATGCCTTCCCCGGTGTCCTCCACAACCCCACCTCACCTTCCTATTACCACCCCTGGCCAATCCTGTTTGTTTTGTGAGACCAAGAGAATTGGTTGACTTTTTAAATGCAGAATCCCCAAATAGAAAAATGTAGCACTCTATTGGTTGAAGGGGAGACATTATGACCAAATCTGCCCCTTCCCCCGCCTCCAGGCCCCTGAGGTCCCCCCTCCCCACCCAGAACCTAGAGCTCTGAGGAACATGGGTTGGAAAGCACTGTGATGGGCAACAGGGACTTGGGAAATGTCTCACTGGGACAGTGAGCCTCTCTGTTCAAGGCAACCACAATTTCTAGATCTCTGGAGCCAGAGTGAGAGAGCAGGAATCCTCCCTAGGACCCGCATGTGCAGTTTTTACACAAGAACCCCCCGGCAGGTCTGAAAATAAGAAAAGACTCTGCTTGCTGGACTGCCAATACTGAAATGGCGGGGACCATGTCTGCTCTGTACCCTCAAGGCTCAAGACTTGGCCTCACTCTCAGAGATGGGTAATACTTGCTTCCTGACTGCCTAACGGCAAGAGGCAACTGGAGGTGGTGGCTGTGCATCTTTTCTTCCTTTCCTCTTGGATGGGGTGCATTACACCCTCACCGTTCAGGGCCTGAATCACACACAGCTTTCCTTGGCAAGTGAGTGTCTCCGTATGAGTGTAAAAGAAATGTGAATCCTATTTCTAGTTCTTTCCCTAACTTTTCTACTCCAGCTTATCCCTCTATGCAACATGTGACTGCCTTTCATTTCTCAGAGACATGGAGAGTTTACACAATGTTACTTTTCAAAGCATCCTGAATTCTTGGGAAGAAAGATGCTAGAACGATGACATCTTTATTGGCTGATAAGCTGGAGTGAGAGGAATTAGGAAGATGTTTATCTAGAGGCAGAGGCAAGGGCCCCAGAATGGTAAGCAATTTTCTCACCAGCCCTTTCTGGCAGCCATCTTGCAGAATCCCCTCACTGGGATGAAAAGAATGGCAGAAGTGGGGGGGTGGGTAGTGGATGTGCACACCTTGCCTCCTTTCCCCCTGTTCCACTGAATTCTCCCTTCCTGCCAAGATGGAGACTAATGGGTTGAAAGGAGGAGACTATGTAGCCTAGCACAGCTGGATGTGACAAAACAAACACCCACCCATAAATGCAATGTGGCAGGTGCCCTGTCCATGAGACCCCTTCATGGGGCTTTCTGCTTTTTAGGTCTCTGCTCAGTCAGTGTTACCTCAAAAGCTTGAACCATATGATAAACACTTGCTGGCCTTTCTATTTCTTATTGTCCCTTTTGAGTATGTCATTCCTTGTAACATTTGTTCCCCAATTCAGTGGGCACTGGAATAAAGGGGATTAACAAAAATTAGAAGCTCACGTCATCCTTCAAGTTAATGAACCAGAACCCACTGGGGAGGGGTATCTGGGTGGCTTAGTCGGGTTAAGTGTCTGACACCTGGTTTTGGCTCAGATCATGACCTCATGATCTCTTGAGTGGTGAGATCGAGCCCTGCATCAGGCCACCTGCTCAGCAGGGAGTCTGCTTGAAGATTCTTTCCCTCTGCCTCTCCCCCTACCCGTGCACGCACGCTAATAAAATAAATAAATTTTCAAAAAAAAAAAAAAAAAAAAAAAACCCATTGGGGATGGGCCCTGGGAACTGTGTTTTAAATAGGCTCCACAGGCAATGCTGATATGTGCCAGACTCTGATATCTGCTGTCTTGTAGCCTTTCCTGGGCAACTTGTACGGCTTAAACTTTATTCTTCCATGGAGGAATTTCAGTATGATCCGTGTCCTTTCTGCCTCTTGATGGGACTGAAGTCTTAAAAATGATTCATCTAAATACTACACTCAATTACTTAGCTGCAAATATATAATATGCCAAAATATACAACCAGACTGTATCTACTTCGATAATTTAAGCAGAGGAGTGCCAACCCAGCAGCGATCTCTTCTGCAGGACCAGGCAGGAGTTTAATTATGAGCTGGTAGGTCATGCAGCTGCCAATAATCTGGAGGGTGTTGACACTTCCGGCTTGATGGATATCTAAATCTAGTCTTTGGCTGCCACAGGAAATCTCCCAGCTTCCCTCGATCTGGCAGAGAAGGCAGGCAGGTCTGGGTCTGACTGCTCAAGTCCCCCACATGTGTAGAGGAAGGGAGCACAAAGTGAAATGAGGGCTCTTGTGACTCAAATTCTCAGTAGGAATCTGCCCCCATCCCCAGGGCAGGGATCCTAAGGTCAGAAGCCAGGCTGTGAGGTTCTCTGCTGCCATCAAGACCTAACAGGATGGGGGTCCATGTCAGGCTCTGGGCACCATAATACAATCCTGTTTGATTAAAAGAAATTTCTGGTAATGAATTAAACAGACCCAAGGAAAAAAGGACACGGTGGCAATATATTCTCCTGGCACCCAGCACACAGAGGGGAAGAGGGGGAAGAGAGAAAGAAGACATAAATAAAAGGGACTACTCACTGGGGCTTTTTTCTTCAGCAAGGTCACAGGCACAGAGCAGGTCAGAATCGATTGAGATGGGTTTCTGCTTAATCCAAAACTTAGTGCTGGCTTTCTGATTCGTAACAGGGTCTATCTCTACTTTGTCTCCAGAGATACCTGTAAGGCCGGGGTGGGGGGTGGGAGGACAAAAAAGAAGCCACAAAAAGTGGAAGGTGTAAGTGATTTCAGTGTAATCATTTGACCCATTTTATAAATCCTAAATTGGATGAAAAGAGCTCTTTCTTATGGCTTTGGGGAATGCCACCAGCTCATCAGACTCCAAATGGCACACAGAAGTGCACAGCCTGGTTTTCTGGATGGGTGAGTTGGGGGGAGAAACCAGCAAAACCTATACAAAAAAGGTATTAAGAAACATGCTGTCTTAGATGTACCACAGATACAATACAGAGTTTACCTACATATTGTTAACCCTACACAACACCTCTATGTTGTAATGAAATAAACCATAACGTTAAGTTCATTAAAAAAAAAACAAACAATTTTGATCAGTGATCTTTTTTTTCTTTCTTTCTGGTCTAGAAGAATCTTACACACTAAAAATAGGAAAAAATCTCTCTCTTTCCTTCTCTGACACTAAATAATTATCCCAGCTATATTGAGAGGAAGTCACAGGGGGATCAAAGGGTCCTTTACATAAAGCCTTCCAAGTTCAAGTCTGGGAGCTTGGCTTCAGTCTGTGGAGGTCACTGGTTCTCCGCTGAGGGAGAAACAGCACTGGGTGTGAGCTTAATGCAACAAAGACTTTACAACAGGAATCCAGCATGTTAAACACTGGCACTTCAGGTTTCATTTTCAGAGCTGTGGAAGACATAACATACTGTACAGTGGCTGGGAGCAAAGGTTTTCAGAGAACAAAGGTAATGCCAGGGATGAAAGGTGTCCCAGGATAACAGCGGCAATGCCTGGCAATTGCTCTCCCGGTGTCACTGAGCAGTACATGCTCAGCTGGACACACACGATCTGGGCTAGACATGCTCTGCTCCCCTTTTTGCAGAAAATCGAGGAATCTGTTCAGGGAGTGAGACAAAAACCTTCAATATGCCTTCCAGAGTGGGCCCCAGAGAGAATCTTGAAAGTAATTAATATTTAGGCCATACTTTAAAGGTCAGGGGCAAAGTAGAAAAAAGCAAAATCAAGTGAAGATAGGAGATAATTAAAACCATCAAATGTACGTACTGTAACAAAAAGACCATCAGAATTAATACATTTCACCCCATGGATCACACTCAGGAATTTTTCAAGACAACATGAGAAAACTTCGTAGACCAGAAGAAAAAGCAGATAAAACAAAGAGCTCAATTAAGAAACAAACAAAACCCCCCAATAACACCATGATCTCAGTCTGAGAGCAAATTCAAAATTAAACAAGAAAACAAATATAAAAAAAATTCTAGTGATTAGGTCTGCACACACTCCATTTTTATTTTGTTTTATGAATAAAGAAATTCCAAATAGCAGACAAAGAAAGGCAAGAGACCGTGCAGACTCTGGTAGAGTCTCGTCTGCTGTCTTCAGAGGAGACAGTGCAGTACAGTTGCTTAACCCTGGCCATTACTGGGTGGTCTTTCGAAAAGATGAACAATTGGTATTTTTTTATTAATTGAATGCTGGAATTTGTCATTAGACATATTTCAGGAACACCATATTTCAATCAGGCACAATGTCATAAGTTCAGTGGACTCTGGCCGTTCAGGTCTAGATGATTTCAGGAGGGTGAGAATGTACCAGGAGACCAATTTTCTTACATTTCACTTAAAATAGATTACGACTACCCAGTTACACTCTTCCCTCCAATTTGGTCATTAATTGTTAAAGATCTGGACATTTCTATAGTTCCCTGAAAGAAGAAAAGTACTTATGCCACAGCTGTTGGTAGCAAGTGTTTTTTTTGTTTTGTTTTGTTTTTGTTTTGGTCCCCTATCCTTCCTCTGCTTATTTTGACATTTATAAAAGTCAAAAACGAGCAGAGCAAAATAAATGTGCAAATCTCTTATGTAGAATAAACCCTGCCCCACATTCCCTTCTCAGAAAGAGAAGGGGGGGGAAATCATCACCAGAGAGGTACGGCTTTAAAATTTTGTTCTACGGCCCCACAACTCCTAAAGCCGTAGTCAGTCAATATTGTTAATGTACCTTGTTAATTTGATAGGATTTGTCAGGTAACTCCACTGGAAAATTATATAAAACTGTTCCAGATGAAAAGATGATAGTGACATGAATTAAAGTGATAGAACAATAGTGGAATATAAACCAGAAATGACACCCAAAGTGGCTGTTGATTTATTGCCGTACTGAGTTTGGTTCTGGGCTCCCATGTATATTAGTGCTACAAATCTGGGTCCATTTAGCAGAGGGATGCTCATACATACATCACCAGCTCCTGCTCCAAGCCAAGGTCACTCCCCATGGCATCAATCTTTTCAACAGAGCCTACTTCACAAAGCAGGACTTTTGTAACCATCTCAGATGTAACAGACTCTCGTCCTCTTTCATCTTTCTTTTATCATGTAAAGTACACTTTAACTTCTATTATTTTTATCTGCAAATTGTTACTGTATAGTTCATCCATTTCAGGCTCTATCTCTGCATCAATTGCCTGCGCTCTGCACGGCCACAAGAACACTTTCCCAATGACGCCCTTTCCGGGGATTATTGTGTAGTCACGGTTCGTAGAGGGGAACCCCAATTCCAGCATTTGGGGAATGAAGATGTGGGAGATGAATGTATTAGGTTCAAGATGGGCAGGCAGGTGGAACACCATTTAAACAACTGGTGTGTTCCCAAAAAGTTGCCTGTAAATCAGATCTTTTCTGAATCAAGTCACATTTTCCCACTGACTTCTAGTTCCAGAGATACTCTGTATTCATTTTGGATTGATCTGTAATTGGCAGGGACTCCCAACACTTTAGTTTTAAGTTTCTCTGCCCTGAAGGCTTTCAGTCAAGTAGTTAATGATCTGTAAAACACTTGCCTGCCTAGAGGAGTCACTATTTAAAGGAACCTGTAGGGGGATCTTTCCTGATGGGAAAAATCCTTTTGTACATTAAATAATCTCACCCTATTTGAGATGTGTGTGAGTCTCAGCTTCTTCAAGCAGGGCCCACAGCCCACAGGAGCTAGTCTGCTCCTGCTGCACAGTGACGACCCTCTGCTTTCCAGGTCTGGTGGGCCTGAGGTGGTCTCGCCTTGGAGCCCATTCTCCCCGAAGGACCCAGAACCCGCTGCTGAAGAGTCTCCAGAACCTAGCCTGGAGCAAAGAGAGACCACTTCTGTCCCTGCCCGGGAGTCCCAGGCGTTCTTCTTGGTCAGAAGGAGGAAGCAGCCCGGTGGAGAGGTGACCAGTCAGGAGGCTGGCATGACAGTCCAGGCTGGGGGCAAAGAGGGGTGAATATCGCTGGCTGCAAACACATGCAGCATGGTTAGAGATTCTTTGTGTGCATTGATTTAAATCTCAGGACACCCTTATCCCACTGGTTACTATATTTATCCCTATTTTATAGATGAGAAAACTGAAGCACAGGGAGGTTAAGTAACTTGCCCAAGATCACACAGCTAGAAAGTGGCAAAGCTTAGCCACTACGCTCTTCTGCAAGAACTGTGCTAGGTGTTCTATATTACATGCCCTAGGAGGGGTGAAGGTGCTTGCCCTGGCTTGGGGAACTTTTAAGCCCAGAGCTGCCTGGTTCCCAAGTATGGTATTTCCCACTGCTCTGCACAGCCTCATTCAGCTGGATCCAGACATAATGGGGAATTCTGCCTAACTAGTCTTTAATGTCCTCTTTCAATTTTTACCAAGGAACAAATAAACATTCAAATGTGCCAATAAGTGCACACCTATTTTTGTTCAGACATGGCAAATCGGAGCCTGAAATCCTTTCAATATTCTTCTGTATGACCACTGAGCATGGTTTTAATGTCCTTGGCTAAAGCTTTTGTGTGAAGCCACGAAGGAAGGACAGGCGTGCTCCTTAAAGTGTCACTTAGGCACTGTTTTTAAGTAATTCAAATTATAAACATATGTCCCAGAAAACAAGGGAAGTTGGCTTATGTTAAGTTTACATTTCTCCAACTTAAATGGTTGATAGAGGAACAGTTAATCCAACCATGAGAGAATACAACACAACCATGAAAAAAATATGTATGAGAAAAGTTTTGACTTGGAAAAATTCTTGTGAAGCTAAGTGAAAAGGACAGGAAAAATATTTATAGAAAGGAGATCTAACGGATATGCTCCAAACTGGTAACGGTGGTCAATTCTGGTTAGTAAGATTACATCCTTTCCTTTTCTGTATTATTCCAAAACAGAAATTTCACCCAAAATAAAAACAAACCTCATTTTAGGATCTGACATTTTCTTGGTTTCTACTTCAGGATTCAGTACCCTTTCCCAACTTTTCCAGTGTGGGGAAGGGAGTATGTTGAATCCTGGGGTGGGTAATCATGAAAGCAACCCTAAACAAAGACTACGTCCAGCTAGCAGCTCTCAAGCACCCAGTGGCTGAGCGGCTGGGAAGGGTTCCCGCTGTGGCATTATGGCCACCCTGGGGCCACCCCCACAGGCTCTACCTGACCAGCTGTGAGAAGCGAGGAAGACAGTGTGGGGGCTGGCCTGAAGTGGACAGTGTCAGCCCCTTCCCTCAGAAGCAAGGATGCCACTTGTCTTCTTTTACCAGCTCTCCTCCCCTACCCACTTATCCATGGCCATCCGTCATGACCTTTTCATGCTCCCACTTCTGACAGCTTCCAGATACAGTGAGTCAAACTTCACTGGAAACAAACTATCACGCCAACTGTCAAAGCAGAAAACAATGCCTGATTGCTGTCCTATGTCAATGCCAGCACATAAATCCTTCCCTAACAAGACAGCTCAGAATAAACAAAAACGCAACTCTAACGTACGTACAACTCTCTGGGGGAACTATGTGTCCCAGGCTTTAGAGTTATCACAAGGAGACCTTCGTCTGTTTTAACTAACCAGAAGATTTCCATAAAAGGAAATGAGCACGTACATCATCTTCTGCTAACACACTAGATACCTACTTTGGGCACCCCTGTGCTGGGTCCTCTTACGTAGAGCTGCTTACTGAGAGCTCACC